GCGTATCCGTTCATGGGTACAGCTGTCTCTCTGCTCTGGTTCCCATGCTGTGTCGGGTTGGAACGAGAGTCTTGTTGTTTAATAGTGACGTGACACCGAGTCCCCGAGACCCCCGGCTCAAACTCCAGATTGATACCGCAAGCGTCATTCAGGAGGGACAAGAGGTCCTTCAATGACGACAAAGTCGAGGTCCCGAGAGTGGTTTCACCACTAGGCCCATGAAGCTTGGACACAATGTTGAGAAAAAGCCTTCCATCGACCAGATCGGCGAGGTCGCATGGCAGCGTTTGACAAAGGACACTCTCTTGCCAGGCCTCTGACATAAGAATGTCCCGGCTCGTGTCGACAAAGTCTGTCAAGAACCTCGTGCTTATACCAGAGCTTAAAGCGTCGGACGCGCGATCACACAGCCGGCAGTCACGCACCACAACTGCATGCAGGAGCATTGCACATGTTTCCAGTAGAGGAGTGGCGCCGATTTTACCAGACCTGAACATCAGACTTAAAGCCACGACTATCAGCAAGTCCCGTTGTGTCAGAGGCGGTGTCGGTCCGCGGTCTAGAATAGCCAATGTCTCCGCCAAATGGCCTTCTTGCGCCACCTGGGCATCCTCTTCGTTTGAATTTGAGTTCCGCAATGAGCTGGCCATAGCTTCCTGAACCTCCTCGCTGGCAGCTTGGTTTTCGACTGGATCGCAAGCAGTTCCATTTGGGGTTGGGGACGGTAGTTCGACTTCATATTGAGATTCAATATCCGAAGCAGTAGACACGTGGGCTGCCTTGCTTTGCGTTTGTCTCAGCTGGTTTACGCGCATTCTCGAGCCTTCCACGATCATTGCCATGACCTAGTGCGATTGTGAGATATCTTTAGAGTAACTAATACTATTGAGGAGAGGGACAGCTTACTTTTGTGTCTCGGAATTCCACGGTGGTGACGAGAGCAACATTATAACCATGGCCGATGAGCCAGTGGATCATTAGCCTCAACGCCAGCTTCCGAGTGTAATCCAGTCGATTTTCTTCCAAACTCCCTCTGCTAGGCGTGTCTTCGCCGTGTCTAGAAATGTCTGTTGTATCAGGATCGATCTGTGCCTCGGAGGGAGCCGGTGGCTCTGTATCGTTGCTGTCATCTCTTGAAGAATCTTTCAATTTGTCTTGACTGTTCAATCGTGGAAAAGAACCATCATGGCACATGAAGAAGTATGCTCCTGCTGATATCAAATACTCGTCGAAGTCACGGGAAGAGTGGGAGTCGAAGACTTTGACTTCAATAGATGGGACAGTGAGAGGAAGGTTGCAGCTCAGGTGCTGGATGATGGCCTCTCGAGCAAGGAGATACCTGGAATGAAGGTGAGCTGGGGTATTCTGCGGAATGCACATGCGCGCGTGTTTGCCGAAAAACACGACGCAGAACTTGCATTTGCGCTGGAGAAGAGCCTGGAGGAATTTTTCTACAGTGTAGGTTGCGTGCAGCAGTTGGAGGCCTGGTGAGAAGTCGATTTTCTCGTCCGAAAAGGAATGGAGAAGCAATGAGTCTCCTTCGATGATGAAAAGTTCGTCGCCGGCATAGTCGCCTACGAGATCGACAGTGCGAGAATACAGGTCATCGTACCTAGGGTAATTTAGCAGGCAGCTGATAGCGAAAGGAGTCTGGCTACTTACCAGTCCAACAGATCCTGGGAGTTGAGCATCTTGAAGTGGTGGACTAGCGAAGACTCAAAAGCGGACGGAATGGTCTTTCCTGCGAAAGTCACAAGTGAGCCACGAGGTGAGAACAAAGAAACTCGCTGTCAGCGGGGCAACGCGCATCCCCTCAAACCTCGCGCCCGATAGCGTGACCTACCAGAATCTCATTGGTGTTGGTCGCGATGGCTTGGAGAAGTGGGAGATCGAACTCAAGAAGCGTCGCTGCTGTCAAGGAGACGCTTTCTGTTCCTTGAGGTCTGCTTGAGGTCTGCTCTTCACATTCGACGAGAGCAGGCGCGCGGCAGAATGCTTGTGACGGAACCACCGTTTCAACTCGGCCAGCCTGAGCGGCTGAGCCTCATGCTTGGAGCCTATATACTTCTTGGGGCGGATACCTAAATTCAGTCCTCCAATCATATGACAAGGTTGCTATAAGGCTTGGCTACAGGCCCGGAGCGGACCGGCGGGTGCCAACTACTAGCAGTTAGCTACTTGCCGGCTTCGCCATCGAGCATTTGCTTTCCAGCCTTTTGAATGCTCATTATGCGCCTTCGCAAAAGGAATTGATTACGACGAAGTTTCATGACTATTTCCATTGCTTGGAGGAGTAAGCTGCCACGTCAACTCCAAATAAGCTGTCTAAAATGGTCGTTTCACTAGCAGGAAAAGAAATCTTCGTCATCTTGATGCATTGCGAGCAATCACACAAGTGGCCCACACATGGTTGAGAGACTCATGCTCCCTAGAACTTCACCCATGGAAGAGAAACGTCGCAATACGTAGGTTTCTCTGACACCATTTCTGCCTGGTGTCGCTGAGAGTAAATGGGGTTGACACCGCGTGGGAGGATCAGACTCAATCGATTGGAGTTCAAGCACGGCAAAACCACGTCGTGCTCGTCTAAGGCAGGAAGAGGTGTGCAGATAGAAGATAAGGTGGAAAGAAGCCACCAGAAGGTACGAGCTGCTCTCAAGACCATGCGTGAATGGATCGAATTGCTGCAGCATTCACGACTGGGACCTGCGGGCTCTTCAACCAGATTTTCTAGTGGACGACCATCTAGAGTGATAACCTAGCCAGCGGCTTCATCCTGGCTGGCATCAGGTGGTGGTCCGCGTGATACCAACAAGCCAGCCACTCGAAGAGGTGGTCTCGTACATTCTGCGCTGTCGGCAGCTTGCTCAGTCGGTTCAGCACAGCTTCACACCGGGTTGCTGCGTTCGAATAGGTTGCAGAAAGCGGGGTTGCAACCAGTTGGAGCGGCCTGTGTAGAGATGTTGGTCTTGCCGGGCCGCAAACCCCGGACTTGTAGCAAGCTCAACCACCACTCCACCCGAAGCTGGATTATGAGAGGCGAACAGGTAGAGTGCTCGTATTGAGCTGGCAAGTAGCCTTCCTCGTGAGTAATGACGACGCCTCAGGTTGCCTCACTTACGTGCTTCGAGGCACAAAGGACCGTCAAGACAAGGGTGCGCATTGGCCATGGGCGAGCCACGACGGATATCTGCGAATGAGTTTTTGAATTGAAATGGGTCCAGGTATCATTGTCGCTGTGCTTCTCTTTCCTGGCCCATTTTCCTTCTCACCCGCGTACCGTAAATCGCACACTGAGGAGGCATCGAAATATCCAATTTGGCTTTCTATCCCGCCTACACGATGAACAACAAGGGGGGCAAAATCTGTTTCCAGTATGCCGACTCTGGGACTTGTCGGTTTGGGCCGACATGCAAATACGCCCACGTCGAGCCAGGGACAGAAGATCGTTCTAGAGTACGTTATCACATGCTTCTCCTTCACCGGGATCTCCCCTCAACCGTATTCTCGTTCTTTGCTAACTCAGAGGTCGAATAGTCTTCTCGTCAAGGTCCTCAAGGTGCTCGAACGCGTGCAAAACAGAAGCGTAGAGGAAAGCCTAAGCGCAGGGACTATATTGGTGACTTCTTCGCCGAATATCCCGAGTTTGACTATGACGAGTCTGCCGAAATATGGCGCGAGTTCTATCGCATGTGTGATGAATTCGAATGGGACAAGGACCATGATGAGAGGCGGGAGGCCAGGGAGAGGTTCAAGTCAGCAATGGTTCTGCAGTTCAATAAGCTCTACGGCACTGACGAGGAGGATCTGAATGCCTGGCAAAGTTTGTGTCATATCTTGCATATCGTCCCAATGCCCGAGGGCCTGGGTGACTGTCGAAGGGTGAGCTCATATGTTTTCCCATTCTGAAATGTTTATTGTTTGTGTGGGAAGAGCTGTCGTTGACAATTAGCAGCGGGTTCGACAGACGCATGTAAACCTCGTGGATCTTGTGGACGCTCCACGAACAGGAGCCCGAGTGAAGGTGTTTGCCAAGTTGGAGCAGTTACAGGATTATACAATCGGAACTGCGAAGTACTTCCCAAAAGAGGATGCATATGCTGGGGGCTTGCTCCGATTCTTACTCCGAGATATCCTCACCATGCCGAAGGGAAATAGGCAACGTGTTCGCTGAGAAAAGGTTGAGATGAGGGCTCTTGGAACTAGGTATCCTCGGAGACAGGTCCATCCTCACCAGCAACGCGACGGGTTGCTATGATGCGAAAGGCGCCAACAGGAAATCCTTGATCTTTTGTCAAAACGTTAGCCTCCTCAAAACCACACCCTTCAATCCAGTGCTCTCCGAACAAAGAACGTGGCGCTGTATCACGGAATCGAGATGGTTTCGTTCTTCCAACATTGTCGCAGCTCCCTCATAAAGCGGTCTTCAGTGCGTTCTTCTCCCATTCCTTAGATTTGAGGTTGCTACGGAGACATCCGAGACCTGGTTGGGGCCATGCTCAGTCTTCCGCAGCTATGTGGGTGGAGCAGGAAGCAGACAGAAGCGATCTGAAGGCCGTAAGCAGCTGCGTAAAGGTCGCAAGAGCAATGCCCTGAGGCGACAAAGGGGAAATGAAAGCCAGTGCTTTGGAGACGCAATCCGATGATTCCTTGGGAAGGGCGATTTTGGCCAGTTTTCGACATGTGGCACAAATCGAGGCAGATGAAGCCTCTCTGCAGTTGATACGAGGAAAGCGTTGAGAACCCCGAGAGCCACCAATCTGGATTGACTCGGGCCTGCCAAGACATCTGACGTTGCTAAAGGCAGGCAGCCCACGAATTGGGGCTCGGATTGGGGGGATTCCGAAGGGACTCACCACAGTCGTGTGCGCAGTGACGAACTCCCTGGTGTTACTGCTTTCCAGGGTGCTAGGCTACTAGGCTACTGTGAGCAGGCTGCGTCTTGGATGTGCATTTAGGCACCGTTGTGCCCTTCTCAGCTCCCCAAAGCCAAAGCCGATCTTCTAGATCCCCCTTCTTGCTGCCTACCGCCATCCACAAATTCCCCATCCGCCGAGCCACCCTCGCCCATTTCCATCCGATCTGAGACCTCATCGATTCCGAGCACCGTGCGCGTCTCACTACATACTCCTTCTGTCTTTGTGTCTCCGGATCTTATACACGCTGTGCACACACCGCCCGCCGCCTCTCAACTTGAACTGAATATCTTCTGTCATTTATTTCACTTCATGACCACGCAGTCCGGCCTGCTATCGAGCTTCACCCTCCGAACGCGATTGATCCCGCCACACAATCCCCAGGGCTACTTGAGGTACGGACGAAGCCTGCGCCCACTCCTGCCCCGGAGGAAATCACCTCGCGTTGCTGACCACAAGCTGGCTTTCTTCAGTTCACACCTGGCGATATTTCCCTCATAGCTCCTTAACTGCACCCCTCCAGATACCCTCCAGTCCACTGCAACACTGCAACAACAGCACTTTTCGATGACCTCTCAAACTACCCTCCACCGCTCCATCTCCTTCGAAGCCAATGCAAGACTCGCCCCTCCCGTGTCGTCCTACGATCCAGCCATGAGCACGACCAAGAGTGGTCGGAGGAGGAGATCGAGCAGTATCATATATCAAGAACCTCCAGAGTCCTTAGAGCAGATCAGCGACCAGTCTGCCCTTCCCAACCTCAATTCCCAATGGGTTAATGCAAAAGGTGCGCCATGATGAGAGAGCCACAGCCTGACATTAGGAAGCGCGTGAGGGACTAACCCGACCTCGTTTGCAGGAGCCTGGACGATACACCCTGTCCTGATAATCGGCCTCAAGATCCTCTTCGACATAATCCCCGGCGTTACCCAAGAGATATCGTGGACGCTCACAAACATAACCTACATGGCCGGGTCGTATCTGATGTTCCACTGGGTTCGAGGCGTGCCTTTTGAATTCAACGCCGGAGCGTACGACAACCTGAACATGTGGGAGCAGATTGACAACGGTGACCAATACACCCCCGCCAAAAAGTTCCTTCTCACCGTACCCATCGTCTTGTTTCTGTTAAGTACACACTATACACACTACGACTTCACCTACTTCACCATCAACTTCATGGCCCTCATGGCTGTCGTGATACCCAAATTGCCGCAATTCCATCGCGTGAGGATTGGGCTCTTTTCAGAGCCCCCGGATGAGTGAAAGCGCTCTCTATTTGACACGTTCTACAAGTCGGTGGCTTTCTTCTGGTAAATCGAGGGGCGGTGCCGATGGAGGGGACTGAAGAAGGGCCACGCTCCGTTATCTTTTGTGGCCCACGTGGTTTTCTTCTCGCCTGTCTTCAAACTGTCTTTTTGGGAAATCACAAAACGAGGGATACCATGGTCTTTGTATTAGCAGCAGGGGTCATGCTTTCGAAAAGGGCTCCCGGTCACACAGAGAGAGAAGCGAACGAGGGGAACAGGTAGCGATTAGGGCCACTGGCCATGGGCAATGGAACGGAAGGAATGGCAAGGAAATCTTGTATCAGGCCACACGGCCTGAGGGGGAGGGAAAAAGGTGCGACTGAGAAAACTGGAAATCTTGCTCGTGCTTTCGTGCTTCGTATGCCTCACAGACTTTGGAGTGCAACAGGGATGGATGGGATCGGGAAAAATCAATCTCATGCTAACTTGTCCCCATAACAATGATATCCGCCTTTTTCAGTCCAGAACGTGGTGTTTTTTTCCCCGCCGTCTTATCCTCGTGAGTTTTCTCTTTTGCACCCTCGGTCGTCGCATATGCGGCAGGCTCTGATTTCAGCCTGTCGCCGACAAAATTGGCGCCCTATCGAGGAAAGAAGACGAAGACGAAGACGAAGACGCAGCAGGAGAGGACGTTGAAAGTCCTTCCGTTTCATTGCAGACTCGCTACATGCATACATACCTACCTAGGAATTCCATCTCTCTCCATCCTTGTTCCCGCCCCGGGCGCCTAATCGTTTATCCTCCCACCGGGGTCTATTCCTTTCCTTCGGCGAGGGACGAGGTCGCCATTCTTGACCGCCTTCGTCATATCTTGCACGTCCGGCTCACTCTCCCCAGTTTAGCCGGGGTTGGCGTCCGTCTCCAGGTACCGCCGGGCAGGGTTGAGTGCTCAAGCCATTTTCGCGAATCTGAGAGCAAACAATCCACGTGGTACCACTTTGTCCTGCAGTCAGGGTCATAACACATAGCCTCGGCCACGCCCATGTCGCCTCGCCTGCAGCTGCAGTGATCCCCAATGCGGCTTTCCTTGTGTATCTCGCGGTGGACGGCGCTGCAGAGGGCGTGCATCGCCGCATTCATCAGCGGCTGGATGCCCAGCACATGCGCAAAGTGTGTGTACTGCAGGAGGCGTCTCTTTGCGTCCTCCGTTACCGGCGCGGCGGGCAGCTTGACGAAGAGGTAGTGGCCCTTCAGGTACTCGACGCACGCCTGGGCCAACCTCCCTCGAGATGTGAGAGAGGTTGATCGAGGCGCCGTCGCCGCCGCTGCCGGCTCCACCCCACGTGAACCCAGATAAACAGGCCAACAACTCCTCGTTGACGATGACCGAGGGCTCCTTTCTGCCGTCCTCTCACAGACGAGAGAGACGGTTGCACTTGGCGTTAGCCTGGGGTAGATCAGTTAGTCTCCAGGTGCTCGGTGGGTTGGATTTGAAGGTTCTGGTTGCACGCACCTTGGAACGGTCTCTCCCTCCCTCTATATATATATATATATCTCTCTCTCTCTCTGTACTGCGGAAAGAAAAATACAAGCGGTGGGTGCACACCGGGCAACACCATCACTCTGCTCAATGGAGTAGTCCAAAGTCGTGCAGAAAGCTCGAGGCTCTCTCGGTCATAGACTGAGTAAGAGATTGCAGTGTCAAGGTCTTCCGCAATAGACAGTGTCGGGGATACAACATGGTGATGTGAATGCGCAGATTCTTCGCTAATGGGTGATCCTTCGTAGTTGAGTGGCCTCCATTTTTCTTTCAATGTTTCGTGGTCGTCATTAGCCCAAGACCGAGTATCAGATCAAATGTCTGCGGAACCGGTTTGAGAAGTATGTTGTCCATGTTAGGCTTAGGTGGTTGGAATGGAGGGCACCGGCTGGACGAGGGTCTATCTGCAGGCGTTTCGTTGGGATGGTGAGGCATGCTGCCTGTAATGTGCCATTCATAGAACGGGAGAGGGACGGATTTGTCGCGGTTATGTAGTGGTGCAGGGGGTGCGGATTGTTCGGGGAGACGGTTTTCTCTGCCGTTTTCTGCGATCTTCGTTATCTTGATCATCCCATTGCAGGCCATCTTCATCCCCCTTACTCGGGTCTTGGGCAAAGTCCCCGAAGCGGTCGAATTGCTTCGTGTTACGGCCTGACCGGCGCACCGCTTGACTGTTTTGATAGCGTACATGCTGGCCTCGAGTCGTTCTGGTTGCAGTCTGCCGACGATTCTTGAAACGTAGATAGCCACCTTTGGCTATTTTTGTGATTTTTCGAGCATGGCAAGGAGCTGATCGAAAGTCGATAGACAGGGAGAGTGGATTTGTTGACAACTCTGAGAAAAGAAGACAACCGGCAAAGATCGCGCTTGATACAGTGAAGGCAGGGGAGTAAATTGATCACCGTCCTGCTGCACCTCAATTTGGATGGAGCACTGCACAAATCCAGGTCCTGCTTCCTGATTCCCCTGCAAGTGATTCACACAGTTCAGACCGTCTGAGAACCCAGTAGTAGAGGTCTCTGTACAACCGAGTAATACATATATATACTTTGTCGCAACAAGATACTTTGCTGCAAGACGGCCTTGGTCGCGCCTCGTCGTAGAGGTGAATATCAGAAGTCGGCATACCCATCACTTTCGTAGGTTGAGACCGATAGCCACTGGTAGTGAATTGTGAATATCATCATGTGCTCTTGCCAACTACCACACAAACGCTGGGATTGTAGTAAACAGCAGTTGATAGGAAGGGCCAAAAAAATCACGTCCTGGGTCTCGAAGCCTCAGTCCTTTTGTCCAAAATGGCAAAAGGGCATTCTGGTAGCCCTTGCCCGCCGATGCGGGAGGGATGCCAGACTGCTGAAACCAGTCGCTGAGTAGCTCCACTTAGGGTTTCCTTTGCCGAGGACCGGTGCCATTACCTAGGTGTTGATTTTGTGCAAGGCAGCAGTTGGGCTCACGGGGCCCTTCGTAGAGCCGGGTATCAGGCTCTCGTGTCTATAGACTGTTAGCTGTGCTCGACGTACGGCTGAGAAGGTGTTTTCTTACCCATTTGGACACCGAAATTTGGGCATTAAGGAATATATCCTTTCAGATCCAGTGACACTGTTTTTACCTGACCGTGTGATTCCGACCCCTGGGCATCGTTCACCCAGGGCATCGAACAAAGGGCCATTCCGCCCACTTTGGACATTGTGACAGAAGAGTACCTTTGACATGACTTTCGAATCCACCGAGCAAGCAGAATCTGCCAGCAGAACAGCACTCAGAATGGACAATGAGATCAGAGGGCTCGAGATGTATTCCGTGTCTTCCTCACTGAATCCTCAGAGAGTTCCTCAAGCATTCGTACCGGTGTCGAAGCAACAGAAGGGAGGAACGGAATGATATTCATGTACATAATACAGATTTCACACGCATGGAAGCAACCACACGGCTAAAGAGCTTCTGCGACCCATCACATCTGAAGAGCAAACAGCTTTGAGGTGCAAACAAGGGAAGGAACAAGGACGGGGCTGCCAAGAAGCTTTCCCTCATTGGGTTTGGCGGAATTGGTACGGCCATCCAAGCCGGCACAAACGACAAGGCTGGCCAAGAAGGGTGAACGGCGAGACGGTTCCAAAGCAAGCACGGATATAGGGAAAGCGATGATATTCTGTTCTCTGATCAATCATACCTAGTTTCTGCGTGCCCAACTCCTTTCTTTGATTTGTACAGTGAAATGGGGTCAACACCCTGGGGTCAACGCCCTGGGGTCAACGCCCTGGGGTCAACACCCTAGGGCCTCATGGCATCCAGTCGGGGTCCAGCGTGACCTGTCCGCCTTCTCCGGCGGTCACCTCACTCATCCGACAAAGATCACTGCGTTCCTCCTCAGTGCATGGCAATCTCGCCACGTACTGGGTGATGGTCGGCAGGATCTTGTCAAGAGCAGACCGAGCCGGATTTCCCTCCCAGGTTACCGTCCTGATTAAGTCGCGGGTCTGGGCATTGTCCCAATCCTTGGGCTTGCGCAGGATGGACACGCAGATGGCGTGCATTGCAGCCCGTTGCAAGCACTTGATGCCCAACTTGTGAGCGAGGTCCGTCATCTGGAGCATAGCTCGCTTCTTTGGATACGAGATGTGCTGTCCGTCCTCAGGCAGCGCCACGTCGAGGAAGTCGCCCTTCAGAAAGCGTTTTGCTCTCTCGACGACGTCCTTGTCAATACGACCGACTCTTATCGTTCCGACGATGCTGTTTCGACGCGCTCCAACCAGAGCGCCTCCAGCCTCGATGTCATGTTGCTTTATCCAGGGCGAGAACCAAGTGAGCAGTTTAACTGGGACCTCGACGACCGGAGTGCTCTCAAAGTTGTCTTCGTAACAGCACTCGAGCTGCACAGCTGGGTCGAGGTGCCTGACGCTGCGGTCATATCAGCTTTGAGCCATCAAGGTGAAGATCTCATAGTACTCACACAGGAAGTTCTAGACCGTGCAGGTAATGAATAATAATTTCTCCTGGGCCAACAGTGCAGAGGCTGAACTCTGAAGTCCATGAGCTTGCTGACGCCGAGATTTGCGAAGGATTCACAACTCCATACGCACGGCCGTTGCGTTCTGGATCGTCACGGTTAACATCTGCGTTTCCTTCTCTAGATGTACTGGTGCTCGAGTTTGTGGGTACTTGAGTTTGCCGTGAGTGAGAGTGGTCTCGGGGTGTGATTCTGGCAGCAGGTGTCGCATGTTGTTCGCCCATCTCTTGACGCAGCCTGGCCGAACGTGGACGTGGAGCGAAGATAATGCATCCATCAGGCTGGCCAGCCTGTCCACGAACGTTGACAGGGATATTGTAGGGCGGTGGCATGTAGTCTCGGCCGGGCACTGGGATCTTCATCGTTGCTTCTGGTATGTATGCAAAATAATCAAGGATGTCCTCGAGTCGTTTGCTATTATTGCCACCAGACTTTGGGATTGCTCCAGGTGTTGCCTGTTCCTCCTGTTTCCGAGCCTCCACTTGCTCGACTTTTCTCTTATTGAAGCAGATGTTGCATATCCAGACATCTAACGACATGAGCGCTGCTGAATGACTTTGGAAATGGCCAATTAACATACCGAACTGTTCGGACCATCGTCGCGACTGATCGATCAGGCATTCCAAGTGGTACCATCTTTGCTTACAATCGGGGTCTTGACACATAACTTCGTCAAGTCCGGCGTTGCCTCTCCTACAGGTGCAGTAGTCCTGGGCTCGGTCATCTTTGTGTACATCTCCACGTTCCTTGATGCGATGATGTCTTTTCACGTAAGCTAAGGTCCGGTCATACAAGCGGGTGGTGATTCTTGTTGGTGGTTCATCATGATCGTCCCAAAACGGTAGTGGCGGTATACTCGGGGGCCGTGGAGGAGTATTTGTTGAGATTCGGGATGAGGAATCTGGCGTCTCTCTTCTCTGTCTTTTCGGCTCCTGGCTCTCTTCTTGTTGTTCCTCTCCATTATCTTCTTGGCCGGAACCTTCCTCATGATGCGTGTCTTGTGGGCGGGCGCGTTTTCCGGTGGACTGTGGCAAATCTTGATCATATTTAGGCCTGCAAGAACTACCTTTGGTGCGTGTCATCGTGGCAGATACTGTGAAGTGCTTGGGAGGTAGATGGAGGGCGCGGTCAGAACTGATGTCAAACGAAATTTCCGTAAAGGTTTGGGGACAGTGAGAAAACAGAGTCGAAAATTTATAAATCAAGATGTGGAATTTTCTCTTTCAAGTCGATAACTGCCGCACCTCTAGACTGGACAAATATTCCTCCCACTTGGTGAACATATTTTGAGTAGTGTTCGCTACCGTACAATATTTCCACATTTCCCCCAACCTTGGCGAATTCGTTCCTTGGCCGGAAACAAATAACTGATCACTGCGTATTGTGTGGCGGTGTCGCCATAATCATTCCTTTTTTTTTTTAAAAAAAAAAAAAAGGGACTAACCATGAATCGAACCTCCATCTTTCTGTTCCTTCGTCCAAAATGGCAAAAGGGCATCTGACAGCCCCAGCGCAAGGCTAGAGGTGTCAGAATGCTGAAATCCGTATGGCCCGATTGCCAACCGCTACGATGGATTTCCTTCGTCGAGGACTGGTGCACATACTCGTGGGCCCGGTGTATGGCAGCAGCTGGGCGCACGGGCCCTCCACAACTCCCGGGGACCTGGGTGCCACCTGTAGAAAAGTCAGTATTAATTATGGAATAGGTGGGAATCGAAGGGGGGTCCTTTTCTCACCTTTTCAGGCGACAGAATTTGGGTAAATAAAAATATATACCTATAATTTCTGGAGCCTTGTTGGAAGCGTCATGTGAGTGGCCAGCCTTGTGCATGTGGCACGGTGGTCTTCACTTCCTTCGGCCTTGGCGGCTTGTTAAGCTCTTCCGCTTGATGCAAAGGACTCATAGCGATGGCATTGTAAATGCGGGCTTCAGTGTACAAGGAAGGATTCAAGGAAGCTGTAGGATAAGGGGGCCCATCAAGGCCCCGTGGTTTTTCTCTGGATTTGTAGCACCGAATCCAACCCTCACCCACCCACAGAGCACGAAGCATGAATACAGCAGGGCATTTTTGTGTGTTTGTGCAGCACTGCGGTCCGGGCAAGGAGGCGTATGGCAGCACATCATTGTCAGAGTACAGAAGAATCAGGGAGATGATCGAGGTGGAAGATTTAAAATTAAGCTGCGTGGCTGCCCAGGCGCTTTGCCGGATGCGTCAGTCCTTGCTTCGGCGCCGTCCGGTTACATCCACCCAACGGTATGGATCCTCCCTCCTGCCAGGCGAAGCACGAACATCTCTTGATGTGGACGGTGCGGACAGGTACACTCGAAGCTAGATGGGGAATGCAAGGAATACAAACATGCTGATTTGTATGTACAAGAATCGCTGATTTAGAATTTGTACAAGTGGCGAAACGCCTGACAGGTCATACCCACCGCTGCGGCATCACAGGACTCGAGTTCGTGGGCACCTGAGGAAGCCCAAAATCAAAGGAGCGCGGGGTTGGGGGCATTTTGCCATGTTCGAGACGCCGGAGGGCTTGGTCTCTTTCTTCCTTGACGGACTGTAGCTCGTTCGACTGCTCCTCTTGGTCAGTCTTTTGCACTTTCCGCTTGAAGGTTATTTTGCGCTTTCTTCGGCAACACCAAATGAGAAGGGTAACAATCAGGGCCAGACCTGCCATGGAGCCAATGACGCTTCCAGCAATCGTCGCTGGAGGCGTAGGCGTGGACTTTGGAGTTGCGGATGCCGTCGGTTTTGCACATTCGCTGGTTGCAGCGCTGCCGGTGGCGTTGGCGCTCGCGCTGGGAGTTGCATGGATGAGGTTTATGGTCATGGTGGTGCCCGGTGCCGCGGTTGTCAAGGTGGTATCGGGGGTTGTTATTGGGATAAAAGGAAAAGGAATGAAGGATGCTTGTGCACTGGGTGACGCCGACGAAGTACCAATACCACTGGGGACGAGACTGCTTTGGTCGGCGGACGTCCCGTCCGGCTGATCTGTTGCCAAGTCAAAGGAGCTTGCCGGAGTGTTGACAGTGCTGGTTGCGGCCCCTTGGAGAACCGTCTGGGTGACGGTCACAGTAGTCCCTGCTCCACATGAGTCTGAGCTGGAATCGGAAGGGGTATCTTCGCAAACGCCAGCGTTGCAAGGGTCGTGGGTGCAACAGCCTGAGTATGGAACAGAGGAACAGTGATAGTAATTCTGATTTTCAGGACAGGACAAGACATCTCTGTGCCAGAAGGAAAACATCGTGGTAGATGGCAGGAATGACAGCCTCACTTGGGTGAAGAAACGCGCACGTCGTGGGGAGAGAACATGGGTCGAATTGGCTGCTTGGATAGCCTCTATATTCAAATAGCAAAAGGAAGTGCCCTTTGATATCCCAGAGGCCAGGATCAGACCAGTCATGCCCACCTTTGTTGTCACAGCCCGAGTAAAAATTACCACTCTATAATAATTGAACACAAAGAAACTCCAAATATAGCAGACAGTTGAAAGAGCTCAACTGAACGCTCTCCAATGCACGAAACAATGAAGGCTTTGTCCTGCCAGTTTGAAGAACCAAGGCGTCGATCAATGGTCCCGCGATTGAGAAAGTTCTGAACGAGGCTCTGGCGCCCTTTGCTGTGAAGTAGCATCATCCGCGTCCCCAAGAGTCCTGTACATCAGCATTGGAAGGCTTGCCTTAGAAGACTTGGCTAGTGCTTTGGATGGAGATGATCGGTTTGCTCTGTTCTTTCTCACACTCTGGTCAACCCCTTAGACGCGTCACTCACGCCCTGCCCCTTGCATATGGGAAGGGTGTTCGAAGCACGAAAGGTAAAAGAGAGTTGGGTCCAGGAACCATGTGTCTGCAAGGGATGCAACACCGCTGTGAGGTACTAGAACAGACACGTGGGTTGGATCAGCAGGATACTGCTCAGGAAAGGAAGCTGTTACCAACCTGTGGCTTCAGCGTTGGCTGGCCTGACCCATAGATGTACGGTGTCGCCACCTGATGCGAATTCGAACAGCCGAAGACGACTCACTTTGGAGGCGTAGTCAACCCGTCGAACCAACTTTGGGGCTAGATCTGCTCACTCCCCACAGTGGATAAGCAAACACAAAGACGGCAGAGCCAAGGATGGAGCGCGTTGCGGCAGAGATCTCAGCCCCAAGACCACACTAGCCGGAGAAGGCAACAGGAAAAGGTCAAATAAAGAACTGCTTGTACGGGGTAAATATCAAGCAAACTGCGTTCGCCACTGGGTCTGCTGGGGGGTGAGACTAGAGAACCCCTGAATGGAAAGGTGTGCAATCCGATCCTAGGCAGTTGTCGCTCTGGGGTTTGGTGGAGTTCCAAACCAGAAACGGCAAAGCTTTAGCGAGAGTTTGATTGCCGTGGCCGCAGTGGCCATTTGACGAAACTCGCAATCGACCAACACCGACGAACTCCAGTTGCGCGCCGGTCAGATAAACTGGTCCGCGTGGGAAGTCAAGAACATGGACCTCGCCAAAGTTTCTCAGAGCAGTGCCTGACTAAATCACCCAAGGCGGTTGTCGCCTTGACCCTTGAACGGAAGAGACGGCTAGACTGATATCTACGAAAGGATATGGCGAACCGGGTGGACTGCCTGCAGGTGGGCGAGCGGGTCGAGTGCCATCACACCATCTCAAAGTGAACCCAGACACACAGAAAGGGCGTGGATACGAGTTTGGATGAATTTTGAAGCCGCGAGGAAGCCACTCGTTCTCGCCAGGTCCACCAAACAAGGAGTTGCAGAGACCGGTGAGTGTGGCGCTCAGCTCCAGACCATGATCTTGAGAAAACAGAGGCAGAGGCGTTTCAGGCTGCCGCGTGGGAAAAGAAACGCATTTGCCCCAGGACCGTTGATCTGAGGCTGAGGAATGGCAATTCAAGCTGCAAGGAGGGTTCGAGTATTGGGTTGTGAAGTTCGAGTTTTGTTCGGCTACGTTGGCTACCCGGCATTCTAACACGCAACCCGGAAGGCATGAGGCGGCGCTACTTGTTGATGGAAGTGTGACAAGTGCAACCTTGGCATATCAGCTATGCCAAAAGAGGAATCCCAAGATGCCAGCCACTTTTGACAGGTTGCACAGCTGGCAGACAGGGAAAGTCTGGCCAAGCTGAAGGCGTGGGAGTCAGGTTGGTTTGAGGAGTATTTGATGGAAGTTGTCGAGAACCCATCAGCGATAGTCTAGGTACTCGACAATTCATCACTCTCTACCTAGTCCTCGATATATTTGGAGCGACTGCGCGAGGCACAGGTGGCGAACCAACTAAAGCTCGGTCCGGTGGTAGGGCATCGCAATTATGGTCGGAAGAAACAGAACGTTTTGTCCCACTCGCCTATCTCAGTTTCCACTCTACGAAAGCCCACCATGGCTGGAAATGGCCATGCGTGAATGTCGGTATCCGTTTCAGGCTACCGGTGCTCGCATCTGGCAGTAGTTGTGACTATGAAAACCATCATGTTCTTGTCCATGATCCAGTCCGCCTGTTTCCTGCCAGTATTTGAGTTCACACATCCTGAAAAGGCCAAACTCCCACCATTCGCTCAGCACAGCCAGGGGAATCAGGTACGAGAAGTTGACTTTCCTCTTGGCTGCTCCTAGTGCTCTCACGCTGTGGACAGGACAGGACGGGAGAACAACAAGTGGCTCGTGGTTCGTGGTTCGTGGTTCGTGATTCGTGGGGAAGCAGCCATCGTGCCTGTTGACATGTGGATTGGAGTCCGACATCTGGACCAGGGTTGCAGCCGTGTCAACGACGGGGACTGGGCCACTGGATGACCACGGGCAGCGGGGAAGAATGGCCCAAGCTTCGGTCACTCTCAGCCCAACTCTACGAGCACTGCTCGCTTGTTCCTGGGAAGGCAACATATCCACCCCCCTCTTGCAGTGTCGACAGTTCCATTTGACATTCCTGCCACGGCGCCGGGCGCCCTGTCAGGACGATGTAGCTCTGGGGGCGGGCCACCTGGGCGGGAGAGTAACACTCGGGGATGATCAGCGCTGGTACACGTAGATGAGGCTTTAGCAATGGCCACGGACCTCCGACCCTTGCTCGCCCTATCAGGGGTGCTGTCAAGACATGGCTACGAGCATGCAGTCGCGGGAGACAGTGAGGGAGAAGTGAAAAGTGAGTGAAAGAGAACAAGACACGAGGCCATGACGCAGTGGAGTCGGTCAAGGCTCATTTGACGTAACGAGCATGCCGTGTCATTGGCTACCGGGCTGCAGGTGGCGTAGACTATGGACACTAGCTTAGCGAGCGGAGCCTTGGAGCCGATGCAATCGAGCCGATCTGTTGCCTGATTGCCCGACTGCTCTGTGGCTGCCTGTGGAGATGCTCGCACATGGAGTCATGGACTCAGATGCCCCTCGCCTTCGCCGATCCGAACTCTGCCAGCCCATTGCCCGCAAGCCCGTATTGGGAACTTTCCCATCCATGACAGGTAGACACCGACGCAGACAAACACAAACAGACTGGGCAAAGGCCCCTTGCATCTTGATTCTTGCCTCCCTCCAACCCCCCCTTGCTTAACGGCACCCCCAAACCACAAAACCTTCTCATGCAGCCCACTTCGGAAGAAAAAAGAAGCTCCCTTGCTGCTGCTACCGCCGCTATTTCGAAACACCCTGACCAGAACCCTGTCGCCTCTCTTTGGGTCGGTTTTCTTTGGACGAGAAGCTTCACAGCATGTCTCTGCCCGCCATGGCGCTGTGTCTCCTGGATGTTCATTCGCCAGAACCCTTGTTGGGACCTGGTCAGCCACTCTGGGCTGCTCAATGCAGCTTCTGTTAGCAGGTATGACACGTAGAACATAAACCTGCCTCGTGCCCGCGTGTCTCGGTGCACTCTGTCTGTTGTGGCAGGAACAACCAGAGACTTCCCTCTGTCCTTTGCAGAGCACGACGTCGACTTCGGCTTTGGCCTTTTCCTCCAGACTTCGCACTGTCCTGCTGATCCAAAGCAACTGCTCTTCCTCTACCCATTTCCCCATTGGCACTCTCAATTTCCCCCCCACACAATACCGTTCACTCCCTCTTGCAAGCCTTCAACGCCTCTGCCAGAGGTCTAAGCATATCTGGGGCCACCGTTACCCTCTCTGCCACGTGTGATTGACCCTCAATCACGGTATATTCTGTGGTACCTCATCATATTGTACCTGGCTCCGCGTCTTCGAAGCACTTGTACATCGACGCTCGTCAGAGACATCACCGATCTCGACCAAGATGGTTCTCTCGCTATCGTACCGCCGTCCGGCCTATGTTACGTCCTCCCGCGATTCGGTCGACTCCGAGTCTGATGGCCGAGTCGAGTCCATCAATTCCGGCTCCAGCTGCCCCTATGGCATTCCAGACGCCCTCTCCTTCGATAGGATTATCAGCGGCGGAACATGTCCTGTAAGTTGCGAGCTCGAATACCACCGACCTTGGTAGCATAGTTCCTTGGCTGACCCGTTCTTGCTGCAGCCCGTGACCACGCGTGAATTCATGGACTTCCTCCGCTACATTGAGTATGACGCCGAGAACCTCCAATTCTATCTGTGGTACCATGACTATTGCAAGCGCTTCGACGAACTTCCCGACAGCGAGAAGAAGCTTGCTCCCGAGTGGACCGCAGATCAAGCGTTGGCGGAGAAGACGCATGCTGAAAAGGAGAAGCTTCCGAGAAAGATGGCAAGCGCTGCCGCCGAGGTGTTGAAAGGGACCGACTTCGATCCCAATGCGAAAGTCCCTGCGCCAGACGCCGCTCCAAACCCATTCAACACCCCTCCCAGGACCCCTTCAGCCACTGCCACAGACCACGGCAGCCTCGTCCCGTCGACTCTCGGCTACAGCGAGGATGCTACAACCCTTAGAGCGGGATCGACTGAGCATGGAAAGAGAGCCGAGGCAGCATTTGAAGAAGCGGGAACCCTTCAGCCTTGTACGTTGGTAGTCTTCCTTGTTTGCTTCGTCGCACTAACCACAACCCAGTCACCATCCAACCTTTCCGTGAGGAAATCACGCGCATCATCGCCATCTACATAGCTGATCGTGGGGCGAGATTGCTCAATCTGTCGGCCAAGGAGAAAGCCGTCTTGCTGAAGGCACTATCCGTCACTACTCACCCTTCAGCATTTCGCGATGTCATTGCCACGGTGGAATGGACTCTTCGTCATCAGGCGCATCCCAATTTCATCCGCTGGACGATTTGCAACGGCAACAAACCGAGACAAGCCTTTGCACGGTTCCTGGGTGTAGCTGGGATCGTTGGCGGCATCGTCTACGGGATTGTCATCACACTCAGCTCCGCTAATCGAGGCTGGAGGGCTTTGGTCTTCCTCGGTCTCTTTATTGGCGTTGCAACTCTCTTTGCCGCCTGGAAGGGCATGTGCGTTGTAAGTCATACCAAAGGACCCCTCTCTGGAGCGACTCATCTAACCTCACAGGTTCTACATGGCATGCATCATCGACATCTTCGGCCGTGGGAGCTTTTCGGCGATGAAGACGAAGCTTCGTCTGAAAAGAAAAGCTCATTTGACAGCTTGGGCTCCTCCAATAGCTATGAAGATGAGCCCTGGGTGGCCAAATACGAGAAACGCAACATCATACGCAAGATCTTCGATCGTGAAGTCTGGATTCAGGAGCCTGCGTTGCGTCAGATCCAAGACACCATCTTCGTCCAAGCTCTCATTACTGCATTTGTCATCGGGGCCATCACGACTGCTGTGTTCCTCGCGGTAAGACAAGACCTTTGCATTGACAGTATGCTTCCTTCTAACCAGACCCCACTAGGTACCCCGCGGCAACTTCTACTGATCATTCCGATCGAGGTCAATTGGTATTGTGATTTGGGGAGGGGCAAGCAACCAAAAGTACGTCCTTCAGGGAACGTTGCCGATAGCTCCCTCAACGTGATTAGGTATATTGTTAAAAGGAGTGGGCTGGGCCGGGTATACGGCAAAGGCGAGAAGACCTTGATTTGCATGCAGTAACCACATGTCGGTCAGATAAGTGGAGTTTTTGCGTGGCAAGGAGACGCGAATCGTGCTTGAGGATCTGGACTGGAAAAATGTTTAGGTGGGTTAAGCGGTCGGAGTCTGGCCTGTATCTTGTCAAACTGAAGACGTATGTATTTCTTATCATGTGAGACGGCACCCGAACTATGAATCGTCAAGGCAATAACTATATACCAATGTCCATCACCACAAGCACGTGAGAGCAGTTCTACCAGCGGCTCAGACTTAGATGTCGCAAAACTTTTCTGGTGAAATTCCTACACTTGTCCTTTAATCATCAGACTTGAGCGTGACATTGAGCTCCCCGATACCCTCAATGCGTCCACAAATCTTGTCCCCGGCCTTGAGGAAGGGCACACCGTGGGATTTCGCTTGGCCGCTGGGAGTTCCGGTATAGACGAGATCGCCGGGCTCGAGGGTGACGTGACTGCTCGTAGCGGCCAGGATCTCATCACACTTGAAGAGCATTTCGTTTGTCGAAGCATCCTGCATCTTCCGGCCGTTGACCAGGAGGGTCATCCTGAGGTTGTCCGGGTCGGGGACGAACTTGGCCGGCACGAAGACGGGGCCGGCGGGCTTCATGGTGTCCTGGAGCTTGCCACGCATGAAGTCGATCTTCAGCTGGTTGTCACAGATGGCCAGGTCCCGGCACGACAGATCCAGGCCCACCATGTATCCCGCGATCGCCGCCGCCGCCTCCTCCCGCGACGCATGTCGCAGCCGTTTGCCGACCACCACCACCATCTCGAGTTCCCAGTCGAATTCCTTCGTCGTGCGCGGGACCTTGACGGTCGTGCCGGGCCCGACCAGCGTCGTGGTCGGTGGAGCGAGGAAGACGGGGAGAATGTCCCACTTGCCCAGATCGGTGAAGCCCATCTCCTTCAGATGGGAGGTGAAGTTGGCGCCCGCGCACGCCACCTTGTTGGGATACCGGACGGGCGTCTCCAACGTGGCTTCGCCGGCGGGGATCCTTTGCGAGAGTTGGCCGGCCTGCGCCGCCTCGGCAAGCTTCTCCAGCTTCGCCAGAGAGGGAGTCCAGTCCTCGAGCAGCGATCGGACCGTGGCATCTTGAAATTCTTGCGTCTGCCTCAACGGATAGAAGTTGTCGCCAACCCCGATCGCGGCGGTCAAGCCTGCCGGGGTTGAGAGCGTTGCAAGTGTGAAATGGGTCATGACAAGGACACGGGAATATTCGATGTACCGTTGCTCCAGTTGCGCTCAATCAGTTCACGCGTCTCCGGAAGGGAGATATAAGTAGACTGTTCAAGACAGTCCTCATCCACCATCATATTCACCTTCATCGTCGGACCATATCAAATGCTTAAGTCCGGAGGTCAACAAAGTCTTGGTCATTGGGTGACAGCGGAGGTATGGGCATGGTGCCGCCATGGCCATGTGCCTGCAGTCCGACACTTCTGTGCTGTGATATAGGATTCGCATATTCGTCGTCCGTGGACGCCATGGCTCGCAAGGGAACGGGCAGTCACTGGATCCGGAGCGCCATTGGTTCGGTTCGAGATGTGCCTAGCCCTGATGAGGGAAGAAGCCAACTTAATCGCCACAGAAAGACTGGTAGGTGTGGCCGAGGGGACTTCTCAGTCCACGGCTTGCGAAGAAATCCCGAGGGGAGAGCGTGAAGTCCGCGGGCCAAGCTATAGTTCCGGGGGCGTGGACTAGTCTATCATCTCGAGCTCATGTGCCGGTGTGTCGGGCCCGCCGGGCTCGCTCAGGGATTTGGATCGTTGGTGAACTCGGGCAGCCACACTGTCGGGCGCACGGGGGACTGCGTGGAGAGGAATTGTGATGTGACAAGGGTTGTTGGATGTACCTGATTAAGTCTGAAGGAGTGTCTGATAACAGCCTCGGCATCAATGGCAATCCAGTGCCAAGCCTGCCGAGACTGGGCCCAACAACATCCCGCAGCAAGGCTACCAGGTAAACTTCCACGACATCCCGCTTCGCACCTAAGCCTGGGAAAGTCTCAGGCTTTGACTACACTACCGAGCACAGCACAGAACCCTCGAGTACCTGATTACCTAGGTTCTGCACCCCACACTTCCCCGGCTCTGATCTTGAACACCCCACCGATGGCATCCTCTACCCTCTACCCCCGCCCCTTGGGCTGCTCGGGTGTCTTGATCGGCAATCTCGTGCTCGAGGAACTCGATGCCACCGGACACCACCTTTCCTTTGGATGAAGCCTGACGCCCGTCCATCGACAGTTGTATCGTGGTCTACCGGACAGTTTTACCCATCATTCAGCCCATCCCCACAGCCTGCAGACAGCGGCGAACACAGGTGGCTGATCCAAAAAAAAAATGAAGAGGGTCCGGAGCACAGCATCGGCTCAACGTGATAGAGCCTTTTCACGCCAGCACGGCCTGTCGTGCAGATTCTGTCGGAGCAAAAAGCTCAAGTGTGACCGGCTGGCCCCATGCTCAAACTGCACCTCGAGACAAATCCCCTGCGTTTCGGCCGTCGAAGGTATGCTGGAGATTGCACTGCCCCGGCCCCTCCAGTCATTGACTAACACGGCGTTTAGGGATTATTTGGTCTCAGCCATCACAGGCCACCACCTTGTCCGAGTCTCCGGCGAATGACACCGTCGGCGGTTCCACGACCGCCGAGGGCGAGAACGAGACTAGTAACCTGTTGCAACGCCTGAAGCAGCTCGAAGATGCTGTATTCTCGAGGAAAACTCCAATGTCATCGTCGGCGCCAATCCAGCAAGCTGACCACCACGACTTTCGGTCTGAAACCATTGAGCGTGATCACGGAATCGCTCGACAACCTCCGAGCGAGCCGGAGAACACAGGAACGGACGTGGTGCGTCTTCACATGCCTCTGCTTCTGCTTCTGCTTTCTGGATTGAATGACTAACTTTCTGCACGCCGATATTCAGAATGCATATATCCTGGTCGGAACGCCATCGTCTTCCCACAGGCCGCCAGCAGTGTCGGAGCTTGTCGACATTCTGCCCAGCTTTTTCGATGCCCGAGCGCTATTTGCCTTCTATGTGGAGAATCTGAATTGGTATCTCCCCATCATTCACGTTCCAACAACGTGGTGTGAGTTCGAGAAATTGTACAAATGTCTGCAAGATGGCACCCCACCAGATTGGCCGCAGATATCGCTTTTGGTGGCCATCTTATCGGTCGCCGTGTACTTTTGGCAGGATGGGACCACGGGCAATGCACCATGCCCGGTCAAAGATCCCAAGGCCTGCTGCAGAAGCTGGATGATATTGGTTCAACGCGCTCTCGCCGAAGCCAACCATCTTATCTGTCCTCTGCTGGAAACGCTCCAGGCAAAAGTCCTCCTTACGCTATTCCTCCCAACCTATCCCCAAAACACGGGCCGTAGAGGTCAAGTAGCACTTTTGATCACCGAGGCTCAAATACTACAGCTCGACCGGGTAGATTCGCCTCGTCAGCGCAAAACCCGAGAAAACCCCCCAACTCTGGAGTCTATGGTAAGATTGGAAATTCAGCGTCGGGTCTGGTGGGTGATCGTAATGTCTGACTGGTGAGTAAGCCAGTATTCTTACTGTTGATCTCTCCATCGATGTGCTGACGCCGTACGCGGCACCAGGATGTACTCTTTCGTCAACTGGGGTCAACCTGGGACGTACTTGGTTCATCCCGACCACATGAACGTGAGGTTTCCCAGCAACGTCGAGGACGACAACATTCGTCCGGGCTATAACTGCAACCAGCCACTATCTGGTCCGGTAACGGTGATGACTTTTCTGATTGCCAGGCTTCTCATTGCCAACATCATTCAAAAATTAACCGACGCTATGAATAAGGCAGAGCTGGGCGACGTGGAGCTCGACTATAGTACTGTCATGATTTTTGACAAGAAGATCAATGATACGTACAACGCTCTTCCAGCATATCTCCACTATGAGACGGATCCAGAAGCCCTGAAAAACTTGTTTGAAGAACGGCCGTACCTCGACCGACAACGGAAGCTCCTCCTGTTTGGGTTGCACAATTCCCTTGCCTTACTGCACCGGCGATATCTCGCTCGATCTTACCAAGATCAGCGGTACATTTACAGCCGGATAACATGCCTGCGATCCACGCGCATCGTGCTAGAGATGCAAGAAGCTGTGCGGGGTTCTCTCTTGGGCCGGGCATGGCTGGTTGTGTTTCACGTTTTCATCGCGACCACCACGTTGACCATGGACTATGTCTACAACCGCCGTGACCCAAGGCAAGCAGCAGAAAGGAAAGCAGAAATATTGAAATGCTACCGTATCCTGGAGCAGTGTGGGCAGCAGGATCCAGAGGTAAAACAAGGCATGGAGTCACTCAAGCGGACGATGCAAGGGTGGAAAAGTCGCACCGACACGCGCCCGCCGAACATCAGTGCTCACCGATCCACGTCGGGGGAGGTCTCGACGGCCGAAATGGAGAATTGGTCGGCATCTCGCTCGAGCGAGCTTTTTCTCCAGTCACAGCCACAGCAGCAAATGATTCCGCAGCCTCCCCCCGATCTGCCCGGAGCTGCAAGGCTTCCGTGGTGGTCAAGAGATGCGGTGCCTGCACTGGCCATGCAGCACATGGCTCAACAAGTGGCATCCGAAAGCCTGGCCCGGCCAGTGGAAGATCATACGGACTGGCCCAATTGTCGCAATCTGCCTTTTGACTTCCCACACATGACCACGGGGAACGAAACGGACGGGTTGAGCATGGTGCCACCTGAGCCCACCGCGACCACCGCACAATGGATGCAACCCAGTAGCCCGGATCTGTGGCTTCCGTGCCTCGATCCAGATGGGACTGGCACTGCAGATTTTCCTTGGGAGGACATGTTCCGTGATTTTGGTGTCCAGCAGTCCCGGGCGGGCTTCTAGCCGAACTGATACCTCTACCCGAAAAGTTGTATCTTGTCGCAACAAGGGTCCGATCGTTGAACATTGAGTGCGGACATATGGTCTATATGTATTATGAAGCGTCACGACCCTGCTACGTCTAGCCATACTCCGATGAGGCGAACGAAATTCATGCTTTGTATGCCCACTAGGCGCGTCCACTTCGAATTTCGCTACTCCCCAAGATTGAAAGAGACCAATACCTGCCTTCCCACAGAGGCCGACCTCTTGTTGTTCTCACACTGTGATCCCTTCCTGCTGCTGCAAGCCCAAGACACTGGGCGCGATCGCTAGGTCATCCACTCTGAACACAGCCGGTTCTATTTGAGCGACCTGGTCAGGAGCGGCAGCAGCCGCAGTCGGAGTGTCCTTGTATATTTTGAGCGGCTTTCCTTCCACATCCGCCTTGATCTGCAGAGCGACGAAGCGCGAAAAATAACGTGCGTGTCCACAGCCTCCACCCATGTACCATAATCCGGGATCTAATCAGACGACAGGACATTAGACCCGGTTGGAGGAGCATAGCAGCGCAAGTTAGGCGACGGGAGGGAAAGATGGACTCACGACCAGTCGGTTTGAATGCTCCTTCAAGCTCGCCCTCGGCATTCAGTCCCCAGTAGTCTTCTATGGCGCCTGCGATGTCATCGCCGAGGAGATCGGCGACAAATTGACGCATGTTGCCGTGAAACCCAGTGGCAAAGACAACAACGTCGGCCTTGATTTCAGTGCCGTCGCTAAAATGCAGGCCCTCGGGCGTGTACGAGTCGATAGATGCGTCGGACTTGACCTTGATCTGTTTTTCATTGTTCAAAACTCGTCAGCTTTGTGATCGAGGAGCGGATCGCCAGTGGCAGGGAGGATGCACTGTCCACGTACTCTGCCGTCGGCAATCTTCGCGGAAGCGCCAATGTCGACGTAATGCCCGCCCTGCCTCTCGGTCTGATGGTGGAAAAAATCACCAAATCTCACGAGCTTGAATCCCTGACGCTCGAGAGCATCGAAGCGTTCGGCGTTCGCCCTCACCAGTGAGTGGATCAAGAGGTTGGATCGCTCCCGAGTCATCGCAGCAGGACTCGAGTAGTGGATGCGATCGGCCAACTCGATGTCGAAATCCGGATTGTAAACGGCTGGTCATCTCCATCAGTCCATGTTCTGCGAGCGGCAAGGGGGCAGGGCCGACGATGGAGGTTGCAACATACCATCCAATACAGGTGCAAGGTAATCGAGAGGGACCATGTCTAGTTCAGGGACACGCCGAGTCAGCCTCGTGGATGTCAATGATACCAAGGGATCTTGTTAGGACGCCCAAGCTCTTTGAACTTACATGTTGCGCCGCGTTGGACCATGGTCACGGATAACCCATGCTCGAGCAGATCTTCGGCAATGTCGTGTCCTGAGAAAGTTTGTCATTGACATTGAACGTTCGAATGCCAGAGGCGGATTGTCACCACCTACCAGTGTTGGCGGCGCCAATGACAATGCCTCTCTTTCCTTTCCAAGGAGAGCCATCTTTGAAAACTGATGAATGCACAATGTCGCCTTTGTATGACTCCTGTGGTATAAGTGGTGAGTTTGAGTCCGCAACATCATTTGATAGCGGTCGTGGCTTATTGAGACTTACACGGCCAGGAAACGCTGGCATATAAGGGATATGCCCTCCACCACCCACCGCCACGACGATGTGACTGGAGGTCAGGGATACATCGATCCCGTTTCGGTGGACATTGAGGGTCCACTGTCGTTTTTCTGCGTTCCACGAACCATTCTTGATCACGGTTGATAGCCAAATGTTCTAATACAGTCAAGTTAGGTGGCCCGTTGGCTCGTATACTCGTGGGAGAAGGTGTCAAATACTCACGATCCCAAAGCGCTCCGCCCATACTCGGTAGCCTTTCGCCACTTCATCTTTGGTTGGATAGAGGGAATACTCCTCGTCAAAAGTTCTTTCGAAGGGCAAATGGGCTGTGTGTCTTGTCCCATGCACTAATCAAACCACGCCCAAGTCAGTGCTGCTGTTTGCGATGGACTCGGACCAGGGTTGAAAACTAAACATCGACGCCGTGGACAGACAGACTCACGTTTGGCAGCGTTATATCTGCACGCCCAGCTGTCACCAACGTCCGCCAGCTTCTCCAAGACCAGGTAGTCTACACCAAGGGCCTTGAGGCGACCTGCGGTGCTCAAGCCAGCGGCGCCACCACCGATCACAATACACTGATAGTCCGTTTTGGTTGACTGCTGAAGTCCCAAACTCTTCTCTCGCGCCATTGCGTCTACACTCGGATATCCCACGAAGTCTTCAAGAATGGTACGCAGGACCCAAATCCTGTAGGACCCATCATTCTCATACGCGAGCGACAGGAATCCTGAACACACCGCCGGCAGCGGACCATTGGTTCTGAAAGAGAATCGCGCCTCGATCCAGGACGAGTCGGAGCCGGCGTGAGCCACCGTGCATGAGTCTTCCACCATCTGAGGCTCGCATGGGGAGTGATGCTGTGCCAGGTGGTTCCAGGCGGCGGCAATCGTAGGTCCGGAATAAAAGGTTCTCATCGTCCCGCTCAGCGCGAAGGAGTCTCGCCATAGTGCATCGGGAGTAAAGTGGCCGGCGTGCAATGTCTCGAAGGACTGAAGGCATCGGCTGACAATCTCGGCCAGGTTCGCATTCGCGGGGACATTTCGAGCAGGCAGTGCTCCTGGCAAGGTCCGTAGGACGTTGGTGAGTCTCGTGGGGTATTTGGATGGAGCCATTCTGAATGCGTATGTTGTCGTTATCGACGGTGGCATTTTGTGACTATGAAACTGATATATAAATGTGCAACCAGCTCAAAATTCCTCCATGTTTAGTGGAACCATTGGCCGCTCCATCTGAGGTCTCGATGTGACCAGGCTCGACAGTGATCGACTAGGCCTTTCGACTGACACCCACTCTCCATGAACCTTGGCCGTTGTCCGGGGTCCTGGACCTTTGCATGGCTGAAGCCCTGAGCAGATGGTTGAGAATGTTCCCAGAGTCCGAGCATTCCCGCGGACTCCTGGGACTACCGCGGGCGGCACTACTTGGCTCGTGCTGACTTTGCCACAGGAGGAACTGTAAAGGGAGGAAGGTTTTCAATAACCTGGGTTGTGGATGCACAATCCTTTCACAACAGATACGCCTCAGATCCGGGATTGCATAACTTGAGATGCCGCAGTCATTCCTGCCACCCGGCCGGAGTACAGGCAAGGGCCAAACATGGTGCCCTCGAGAGCAGCTCTGCCGTTGATGCAGCCACCAGCCATTCCAGCGACCTCCCCGGCCGCGAACAGACCGCGGACACAGTCGCCAGAGCGGCCCATCACGCGGCACTTCAAATCGGTACGCACTCCACCAAACGTCTTTTGTACCATGGGAAAGATCTGGATCGCAGCCAGATTCCGGTCTAGAGGAGTTGCGTCCCGCAGGGGGCGACCGTGTCGGGAGTCGTGGCTGAGACCCGCGCGGATGTCTGAATTGAAGCCGTCGACGGTGGACCGGACTGCATCTTTGGGCAAGCCAATGGCCTCTGCAAGCTCTTCAACGTTGCTGGCGCGCCACGCGTACGCCGAGTCTTCCCAGAAGGATCTTTTGGCAGGGAGGTCATCGCCATCCGAGGCTGGGGGGAAGTAAGCCGCGTTGTTGTACAGTTGGATATGTCGGATTTCCGAGGCACTGAAGACCATCCACGCGGTTTGACCAGGCTGGTTCAGCAAGGCGACCGAGCCGATTCGAGGCCCCGTCAGCGCTTCGTTGTGAAAGCGCTCTCCTCGACCATTGAGCCAGATGTCTCCCCGAAGTAGGCGAGGCGCAATGCCCCGGGTCCCGCTGGAATCCGTTGGGTCTGGAGTGCCGACCGGATACAGCCAGAGGTGGTCCAGACAGCAAAATTGAGCGGCTGCGTCTCTTTGGAGCATATCATGGCCCTCGCCGAGAGCACCAACACCGCCGCCGGCGAGTAGGCGTTGTGTTGTCTGCAGTGCTGGACGACATTCCAACACTTTCGCGATGTTGCTTGCAAAACCCCCCGTGCAGACGATGACGACGGGGCTGACAGCCTTGTAGACCTTGCCATTCGCTTCGACTTCAACCCCTGACACGGTATTGTCGTCGACGAGGAGACGCCGCACGCGTGATCTCGTCCTAATGTCCGCCCCAAGAACTTGTGCCCGGTTGAGAAGGGCTTGCACGATAGCTCTCCCCCAACCTTCTGGCTGGTGCCAACGAGGGAGCGTGTTCCCCTCGGGGTGCTTGAGGTCGACCCATCGGATGCCCAGCTGCTCGACCCAGTCGTAAACAAAGGCCCTGCTGTTTTCCACGTACTGTCGCGCCCAGGCTTGATCGACCGTCGGACCACCCAGCACGTACCATTCCGAGAGCGCCCCTTCGACCGTATCGTGAATGCCGGCACGGCGCTGCAGTGGCGTGTCGACAATGCAACAGCCGCCTGCACTGACCGCCGAGGTCCCTCCAATCGTGCTCTGCGATTCAAACAACTGCACGCTGGCACCCTTGAGCCTCGCTTCAATGGCCGCCGACAGCCCGGCGACGCCAGAGCCCACGACAACGATGTCAGTGTATTCGTCCAGCACAGGGAGGGTGGCCATATCGAGAGGAGGAAGCATTTGAAGGCGACTGCTACCCGTCACCACGGATCTCAGATTCACAACAAACACTCGACCGGGAAAGAGGGATGCCAACATAAGTCTTCCGATCTGGCAAATCGAGGCCTCGATGTAGAAACTATAAGTATATGAGGAATAGCAACCAGGAGCCAATACGTTGAGTCTTTCGGCCAATTTAGCATTATCTCTACGCAATTGTTACGTCTGCCATGGGTTCAAAGTGGATCTCTCAAGAGGCCGATACGTGCTACCATTCCCGCGGATTACAGGTCTCTGTCTCCAGGTGTGTCCCTATTCAGCTTAATGCATAACACCACCGGCTCAAGTACTGAGCCCAAAGC